CCCTGCAGCAGATTCGCACATCTCTACCAGTGTCACACAGAGCCTTACCCTTCCATCCCCCAGTGCTCTTACACACACACACACATACACACTCACACACACTCCGCCAGTCACCTCTGCAGAGTCTGTGGAACAGATGGCGGATTGACGGAAGTGGTGTCTTTCCTTCATGTTTGTCTTGTTCACAGCCAATTAACGTGCAGTCCTACGAGCATCTCAGTTGCCACCACAGTGCCGGTAACAGCTCCACGGACACACCTGCATCCAAGCAATTAATACGTTCAAGACCTCACCGAATAAAAGACACTGTCGGAAAAAGTGCCCTCACCACCTTAAAGTTTTGTACCTAAAACTCTGGTTCCGCTAAAGCCTGCCCATCCATTTTGTAGCAAAAGATAAACAGACACTACATATTAAAAAGTCATAGTGAGCAGATTACATGTTATAGCACCATACACACTTTTGTATTCATCTGAAAATGTTAGCGATTATATTTTGAGTTGTCATTTCTAAAAAGTCTACCAGATTAGATTTGACTTTGCTATTGAAAGTATTTCAAGATGGATGATTATAATTGGAAAGTAAGATAGGACTTGAAGATAGGATATTGCTTTTTACAGCCGCTCTCTCATTTAAAGACACGAAGAGGCTTATGACAGGGGTTGTAAACTAGGTTAAAGTGTACCTACCAGCAAAGTAAAAAAGGATTGAGTGTTTTGTGTCACGGGAACTGGAGTATCTCCAGAGAAAATAAAAGAAACAGAAAAAAAAATCAGAAATAAATATCGGTGGACTCTGACTGAACGAGTTTATCTGAGCTAACGTGTTGAACTTTTACCCTACAAGGTGACAAACGCATGTGTTTGCACACTCTTCCTGGCAGGATGCCTTTGTGGTTTGGGTTCTCAACGCTGTCTGAACACTACTGCAGCATGACGTCTGACATCTATCACCTCCCGCTCAATGTGTATGTCATTGTGCTGGGCATTGGCCTTTTTGTCTTCATGCTCAGCCTCATCTTCTGCTGCTACCTGTTCAGGTAGGTGAAGCCCGTTGGTTGGAAAGAACCAGAATTGAACCAGAAATTGCAGCACAGTGTGCCACTGCAGGAAAAAAAATGAGCTCACACTTTGGTAATGTGCTATCATCACAACGCTGATGGGATGATACGAGCGTGGAAATGTGTGCGTTTATGACGGGCCCAAGCTGCAAGCAAGGTTTTTTACAACTCTTTTATTAGAACCACCACAAATGCAGCTTCAGACACAGTCAAATAATTATGATCAGCGAATTCACAGCTTTCCCATAACTGTTAAGATTTACGGCTTCTTCTTTGCTGCCTTGGTTTACTCTCACTGCTCTCATTGGTGTAGGCTTCATATGCAGCAGACAGCTGTTGTCAGTAAAAAAAAAAGCCACTAAAAGCCACCTGTCCTACACCAAACTGCAGACGAAGTTAGCAACCAGGTCTGCCGACTGACTAGTTCTACGAAAAGAAACACTAAACACTATTCTCGGTTTCCATAGACACTGTAAGCACTTGGTCATCGTGTCGTTGATCAGATCAATGATGTGTTTTTCTTGGAACCAGCCTCTAGTGGTTATGAGTGGTGTTGCAAGGGAGAGTCTTGTTTATCTTTTGCTGTTTGTTTTTTCCAGCTCTTTAGGAGCTGTAAAGGAGAAAAGTAGGATACACAAACTTTAAATAGACTCTTTAGAGACACCATGACCAATAATGTAAAAGGGCTTTGTCTCCAGATTGAACTGATTACAGAAATACAGAAGCAAATCGTGAATATTTAAGTAGCAAATAGGTAGAAGTTGTGAAAATAGTTGTGAAAATTTGCAAACTTAAGTTAAAGTTGTTGATTTTACTTCAGATCGCTCATTTTAAATATACCGAAAATGTAAATCGGTTTAACATAATACCATAAAATGGGCTGGTTTCAGGAACCTATAAAGTCAGTGGAAACATGCTCAGTCAGCTCAGGAATCAAACTGCTCCCACTATTAAAGCGCTTCAGTCGTTTTGGCAAAAAAAAATGGAGTCATCGAGTAATCGAGCTGAGCTTTTAAGTCCATCGCGTCTAACAACTGAACAGTCTGAGTGAAAACCCAGTTACTGTATGTCAGCCGGTCAAACTGCAATTTTCCTTGTGTGTGTGTGTGTCTCCCCATCTCAGGTTGAAACAACAAGGAACAAGGGAGCAATTCAGCTACAATGAGGTATGTCTGTGCCGTCTGTGTCACCGTGGGGGAATATGTAACACAAGCCTGTGAGGCTGGGTATAAATACTGGTAGGCCTATAGGATCTCACACTCTTATCGCCAGCTGGGAAACCTAACACCGCCCTTTATAGCTGACCTTGACTCTATCCGTGCACGATTGCTCCTGGTTTTGAAAACGTTAATCCAGTTGCAGTGAAAGGGAGGCCTGGTGTTCTGAGCAGGTAGCAGGGTGTGACGGGGGGGGGGGGCGTGTTGACAGGAGGTAGAAAGGTTCTCGGCCTGGGGGAAGGTTGAACTCTGCGGCGTGTACGTATTTGTTTTAAGACACAAAAGAGCTCATACCACGCATGCTTGAGTTTCAAGCTAATCGCACGATAACAATAAGTGAAGTGTTTGTTTTACACCACAGCTTTTATTTTATTTTTTATTTTTTTCAGGGTGTCTTGTCTTGAATTAGAAGAGCTTTAATAACAGTGCAATCTGAAAGCTCTCGCCCTCCTCTCTCTCTTTTTTTTCCACTGTAGGTGGTGCTGAAGGGAGCCAGCAAGAAACTGAGCCTTCTTGGAGTAAGTGTTTCTTCCTGGTAAAGCTTGTTTCTTAAACAACATTCAGTGCTGAGCGTGATGTTTCCACATCAGTTCAGATTATCTGTTAGATGGGAGGGGCTCGTCAGTCAGTTAACTCGAGCAATTTGTTTCCTTAGAATGATATAAGTGGGCTTTATTGCAGATGCTCAGGGTGGAGATGCCCTGCAAATGTCTTGAAAAATGCCGGCGTGAGAGTGTGGAAAGAATGCAGGACTCTAGGAATAACTGAGCTCATTCAAAATGCATTAAACAAAAGATCTTTCTCCGGTGATTTTGAAGAGACTGCCTTTATTATTCTTTTTTACCGAGTCTGAGGGGAAACGTCGGCTTCCAGCTCAGTGTCCAAATGCCGTTGTTGCTTGGAAACACAGCAGAAGCCCAATTTCAAAACACTGGCATATGTGTGCTTTTGGTTTGTATTCGATTACTGCGAAATTGAGGCTGCAAATGGGGAAAGTGAAAACAGTGTCTTCATCCTAAATGCTTGTGATGTGGTAATGTTGTCTTATACAGAGAAGTGGCGTGCTAAACAACAGTAGCTCTTTAATCGGGTGTGTATTATGTTTGATGCACAGATTTGGGAGAACTGTGCTGCTGTGCTGGCACCTGAAGAAAGGTGCACATAAACAGATGTTTCAAAATCTCACTGGGGGAACAAACACGATCATCCTTTTCCTCACATTGTTTCTGTTTTTGGGCTTTATTGAAATAAGCAAACAAGATCGATGTTTAAATAAAACTGAGTTATGGTATAAAGTGGTAGAGAATTGAGATATTCCAATGAAATAGAGCTGAGTCAGAATTGTACCAAAGCGCAGATCTCTGACTGGTGGTTCGTAGTTACAAATAAAATCCTGGGACACATGAACTAACCATTAATTGTCCCTGTTTGTGCAGCAAACTTGCGCGGTGTGTCTGGAGGAGTTCAGGACTCGAGATGAACTGGGAGTGTGTCCCTGCTCACACGCATTTCACAAGAAGTGAGTGTTACCAACTTTTTCTGGAATGTTTTGATATGTGAGGAGACAGCCAGGCTCATTCCTCATTCCTTTGATATGCAAGACTCATTCATTCCGTCTTCTTTATTTGAAATCCAGAGTTAATCTAAATTTAGCTTCATATGAAGACGCTCAACTCTCCAAGCTCTAGGGATTTTTAGCCATGACTGTCAGAAGTTTTCATTAGAATTTTCACACGTGAAAAATAAAATAAAAATAATTAATTAATAAAAAAAAAAAAGGAAATCTCACGTGAATCTTCAGGCTCAGTTTCAAAATGTCATTTTAAATCTTATATGCTTGTTTATGAGTCAAAATGTATACTTTGAGAGCGCCTTTCGTCCTCTGTCTGAAATTCTCCATTTTAACTCCAATATCAACAAGAAATTATGGCATAGTGATAAATACTAAGAATATATCTGTGTTTACAAGGTTGGTAATCAGCCACCTAAGTGAACTACGGTGAAGTCTTTACACTGTTAAAAATAGTTAGTTATGCTAGGTAGATTAGACTTGAATCCCAATTAATATGATTTAACTAAATAGCACATTTTCATGTATTTTGGTGGGATGCCCCTTCTTAGGATGGGCATCTTGACTATTTGACCACACAGACTGCAGGTTTATGACAATGGGTCAGTTTCTTTTAAGTGAAACATTCCTAAAAGTTAAGAAATATCAGACAGGTCACACATTTCAGTGCATGGCTGCACTTTGTGATGTCAAAAAGTACAACACTGGGAGGGAAAAAAAGAGAAAATTCAGTTGTTTTAGGAACAATATCTTCTATTGGTTAGGAAAGGTTCCACTTTCAAGTATTAATCTCGACGACTCCGCGAACCTTTGAGAAGAACAAAAAAAAGCTGTCTCACACTAAAAGAACAAACCCAAAAGAGCATAATTGATTCTCTTTGATTTCGTTAGCTCCACATGATTGCTCATGAATAGTGAATTGTACCTATTGGTATTTCATCCTGGTCCTAATGAACGCTGATTCACTGGCTGCTGCTTTCGTCCCCTCAGGTGCCTGCTTAAGTGGCTGGAGATCCGCAGCGTGTGCCCCATGTGTAACAAACCCATCCTGAGGCTCCACACAGATGCTCCCCAGGGGGCCGAGGGCCCGATGGACCCGGAGGAGGTGTGAGACGGCCGGGGTCAGAGAAGCTCGGACTCCCCCCCTTTCAGAAACCACATACATTAAACACACTAAAGATGACGGACTGCGGTCATCTCAAAGGAAACGTCCATAACGATCCCGAGTGGCCGGGTTTGCTGCTGAGCCGCCAACACGATTTGGATCAGATCAGCCAGAGAGAAGGATCTTTTCATTAAAAGAGGAAAAAAATAAGTTTGTAGTTCAACTTCGCCGCTGCACTGTTCACCAAAAAAAAAAAAAGACGAGAACAGGAGTCCCATTAGAGATGGACATCAGCACTGCCAGAGACAAACACCACCAGAGGCCCCGGGCGGGACCTGACCAGGACCAGGACCAGGACCAGGACGGATACCTCTTTTATCTCAGGGGTGTTACCAACGCAGCCAGCACAAACCATTTCAAGACTCCTGAAACCCAGTGCCACACACGCATCTTCAATACTGCCAACTGTAGAGGACGCGCTCTGGCGGACAGAGGTGGTAGCCACGACTTCAGGCTGAGGCCGAGACCAAGAGGAGCGCAACCGAGATGATTCAAGTAGAACGTGTCGTTACAGATTGTGTCCCGGGCCCCTTCTCCTTTTTAAGAGACTGATAGGAAACTAGTCTTGCCTGTATGTATTGTATGTAAACGTCTCCCTATATATTGTTATTTTGTATTTTAAATAAAGTGTCATGTAATGTATTGTAATGGTCTTACAGTTGAGTCATTTTCGCAAAAAAATGTTTAATAAATCTTCAACGGAATAAAGTAATCGTGCCCCCACACACTATTATACAAAACAGTTAAAAATGACAGTCCATGAAATGTTAACAGGTGGTTGTTTTTAACATTTAGAGGCTATCACATCTCACTTTATAGGTTTGCTGTGCATCATTAGAGGACTCTCAGTTTCATCCGTTCACAATGATAAGATTAAAAAAAAAGAAAAGTTAATTATTTTGAGGGGGAGCTCCAGATGTGTCCCACGCCAACTCGAGTTTGCATGCATTTGCATGGTTCGGGCTCTTTAATTTGCCGCCTCGGTGCCTTTAGCCTCCACAAACTCAATGGCCTTTTCTTTGACCGCCCGGATGCTCTGAGGGGTGCCGTGCTTCTTCTCGTAGTCCAGGTAACGCTTGAAGAAGAACTTAATCTTTTTCACCGAAACGCTGAGGTGGATCACTCGATCAAAGAGCGCCCTGCGGGAGGGGGGGGGGAAGGGGGGGGGGGGTAGTTAGAATGTGGCTATTTGTTCAAAGCAAAAGGTCCACTGAATGGGGTTCCACGTGCTGAATATAAAGGGAGCTTTTCCTCACCTGACGTCGCTCTGCGACCCGTGTTTGACCGTCAGGTCGATGAAGACGGACCACAGGTCGGTGCGTTTGGGGTAGCTGGTCAGGACTTTGTCCAGCATGCTGCGGCCCTTCTCCGCGTCGCCGTAGCGGAACTCCAGCTGAGCGAACTTGGCGATCACGTCCACGCCTGCGGTCAAAAACGTGGGTTTGAGCGGCCACGGACGGCTGGGAAGCGGCCGGCTGGGAAGCGGCCGGCGCTCACCCCCTACCCACGTCCCCCCCCCACTTACTCTCTTTGGCGGGCAGACTCCTCAGCGCCCTCTGCAGCAGCGCGGAGGCGTCCTCGCTCTGGCCCTGCTGCAGCAGGAACGTCCCGTAGCCCAGCCAGGCCGCCCGGTGCTGCCGGAACCGCTTGGTCATGGTCTTATACAGACCATCCGCCTCCTGGACGCACAGCCAAAAACACACACACACACACACACTCAGAATCGGAAATGTCGGTGGAGGAAAGTGCCGGGAAAGTGTCGGACTACCTTGACTTTGTTGGACTTGGCGTAGATGTCGGCCAGCTGCTGGTAGACGGGCAGCGGCTCGCAGAACTGCAAGGCTCGCTCAAACACCTTTTTCAGGCTGTCCTCCGTGCCGTACATGTTCTCCAGGTTCAGCAGGGCCACCCACACGTTCAGCTTTTCCTGGTCCTCCCTGGGACCCAGAGCAGGATTACAGTTTTGGGAGTTTCCTGATGTCCCTGTGTTCCTACTCTGCTAGAATTACAGCCACTGTTCATAGTCTTATTGCTGTTATAACTGCTATCATTATCATTAGTATCAATATCTTTGCCATTTTTCATCCAGTCTGTGTGTTACTGTGTAGGGTGCCTCTCTTTGCTCCCTCTGTCCTTCTCTCACCCTCTCTCTCTCTCCTCCCCAACCAGTTGAGGCAGATAACAGCCCACCCTGAGCCATGGTTCTGCTCCAGGTTTCTGCCTCTTAAAAATAAGTTTTTCCTTCCCAGTGTCTCCTAGTGCTTGCTCTTGGTGGGAATTGTTTGGGGTTCTGTAAATAACTTCGGTCTGACCTGCTCTGTTTGGAAAGCTGGGATATAACTGTTGTTGTGATGTGGTGCTATAGAAATAACATTTAATTGAATTGAAGTTTTCACACAAAACACGTCGTGGGAGAATGAACTGGCTTTTCAGCCCCATTTTGAGCTCGGAGACGAGGCCGGGGGCCCGACGGTGCCCTTCCGCTCACCTGAAAGAGATGGTCTTGAGGGCCCTCTCGGCCACGGCGCGGGCCTGCTCGATCTGCGTGGCCTGCAGGTGGTGGGCCATGTACTGCAGCCAGAGCAGGGAGCTGTCGGGCGAGGCCAGCAGCAGGCGCTCGAAGGCGGCCGCGTCCTGGGGCTGCAGGCCGGGGTCCATCAGCTCCGCCTCGCGCCGCGTCAGCGCCTTCTCGGCCGCCGCCTTCTCCTGCGCCAGCTCATGCCGGGACTTCTTCGGGGCCTGGCGAGCCAACGGGCGGACAGAATGGAGGGAGGGAAGAGTCAGAAACGGGCTCCGTCCGGGGTAACTGTTCTGGTCATCCAGGCTTCCTTGAAGAGGGGGGGGGTCTTACCTTGGCGTTTTCTTCTGGATCTTCCCCGTCGCTGGGGTCGCCCTCCTGTGCGGAGGAAGGCTTCAGGGAGCTCAGGCTGGCGTCCCAGGAGAAGCCGGCAGACACCTGCAGCCTGGAGGGCTCCGCCGAGCCGGCACACACCTGCACACACACACACACACACACGTTTGTTTTGGAGTTTTTTTCTTTTTTTTTTTACAGCTGCTGAAAGTTCATTTAATCCGATGACGACTCTGTTCTGAAACGGCTGCTTACTTTAGTGAGGTCGGGTTTTTCTTCGTCCTCCTCCTCCTCTCTGAAGTACACCTCCACCCCGCTGTCGTTGCCGTCGGCCTTTCCTTTCTTTTTATCTCTTTTCTTCTTCTTCTTCGGGACTTCAGATTCTGCTTGTTCCTGCAATGTGAATGAAACACGACAGAGGACTGTTCAGTAAATTGCTGCAGCACTGGGCTAGTTTTCAGCCTGAAATCCTTCGGGAATCATCCAAAGAGACGAGACGAAGCCGGCCATATTACCTGCGCGCTCTCGGCGAGCCGGCGCTTCTTTTTCAGGTCGTGCTTCTTCTTCTCCTCTCCGGTGAGGCGGAGCGGCAGGCCGAGGGCCTGCGGGAGGACGTCGGGCTTGCCGGTGTCCTCCGGGAGCAGCGAGAGGTTGACAAACTCCCCCTCCCTTATCGATGCGGGGGGGGGGGGGGGGGAAACGGCAGAGCGGTTGGCCTGCAGCCGGGCTGGACCGGACTGCTGGGTTCCGGATCCGAAACCTGAAATCTTACCTGAGGATTTTGGTGGTGAGGAGGGTGTTGAGGGGCAGGTGCTCAGAGAAGACCTTGTGGTTTCTAACAAAGTATTTGGTGGACTGCTGAAGTTCGGCTCTTCCGGTGATGTTTCTTGACAATCTTTAATAGCAGAAAATAACAAAAAAAATGACAGACATAAGATAAAACTTTGTGGAAAGTAGGGTTGTCACGATACTAAAATGTTCAACTCGATACCGATACTCAGGAAAATACTCGATACTCGATACCATTTTCGATACCACAAGGATAAAAACAAAGACCCAGAAATTTAACTGAATTGTGTCTTTCATTTCAAACTGACCTGTTACTGATGTTATCGTGACTGGTGGCCCACATTAATGACCCTAACCCTAACCCTATCCCTCCAGCCTTCATAATGGTGAGAAATAAATATTTTTTGGTTAAACTTGTTTGGACTTATTGTACAAACCTATTTAACATCCACTATTTTAACATAATATTATGGGTAGAGTTTAATTCCGTGTTTGCTAGATTACTTTCACTATTTTTAAATTAATGTCTATATTGCCATGAAGCAATTAGGATTTTCTTGCCTGTGATCTTCCTGTTGGTGACCTAATCAAAACATCCGATTTGGATGTGGGCGGAGTTAGATATGTACTTGATTAAGGGTAGCATGTTATTATTAGCTATTAGCTGCAGCTAGCAAGGCTAACGTATTGTTAATGAACATAAACAACTTAAATAAATACATAAATAAATCAGAGAGAAGGGGCGCAGCGACGGCAGGTCAGCGTAGCGTGGTGGTATCGATACTTTTGAAAATGAGTATCGATCCGGATACAACATTTTAGTATCGATACTTTTTCGAGTATCGATACTTTTGACAACCCTGGAAAGACATCAGATCTTTCAGGAGCTTTCTGCTCCTTTTCAGAGTCCCACATTAGTGCGTCTGGGTTACCTGATGAAGACTCCCTGCTCTCCCACAGACTTGACGTAGCCTCTGATGATCTGTCCCGCCTCCAGCTGGTCTAAAGACAGCACTTCGGGGTCTTTGACTGGCTTGGCCTTCTCGGGGTTCAATCTGGTAGATCACGTTGGGACAGTTTTCCTTAAAACTTAACCAGGAACATTACGGAGAAAAACAAAACTCCTCCTCTGAGTCCCTCTCACCTCGATTGACGCAGAGACAACTGCCACTTTCCTTTTTCGTTGTCCAGAAGGTAGCACCTGAGGGGAAAAGGGGTAAAACATGCTTTAAGAAGCAGGAGGTGAAAGCTGGAGTGCACAGTGTGCAGGTGTGAAGCTCTGAATTTTCCTCTCTGATTCTGATGCTTTTTTTACAGCAATTCCACTTGATTGCAGCACCTTTGAACATTTTCAATTCCTAAATTAGAGCCGTTTCAGAGTGAAGGAGCTTATTACCGCCCCTGCCATGCCCGGAATAAGAACTCAAAACTAAATTAAAGAGCCGGGGAAAGACAATTAGCAGGGAGGAAAAAGGTGAGGCCATTTCATCCTTTCTTCTGAGGGAGAATTAATGAGTAATTGAGTTCATTCTGCTGCCGTGTAATTTCCTTTTGGGACTTAATAAATGTTGACATTTCTCATTAACGTCCGCAAACATCGGCGAGTCCAAAGTGCTTTGGGTTTCACTGAAAACCAGCTCTGTTGACTCCTGCCTCTGTAATGCCGGCTGCATTTGCATTTAGTGACAGAAAAGCATCGCTAGCGGAAAAGTAATCTGTAAAGAAAGCCTCTAAAAACCGAAACAAATAACGGACGTCTGTGCGAGAAAAGACGGGGCTTGGCATCGAGTTGCGGCGACCTACGGACCTGAGGAGCTGGTCTTTGCTGTACGGCTCGAGGGGGTTGGGCCTGTAGGCGTCGGAGAGGTCAGCCACGGACACCACGCCCTGGCCTCCGAAGGGGAGCCGGACCTGGAGGCCGATGTGGGGCTGCTTGTTGGTCACTTTCCCCAAAGCGGTGCTGCCTTTCTCCAGCTTGTGGTCGCCTGGGAGAGGAGGGAAGACGCGCGTTTTTCTCTCGTGGGCCGAAGACCCGACAAGGAGAGAAGCGGGGGGGGGGGGGGGGGGTCTGAGCACCTGTGAGGGAGAGCGCAAAGCGCCGGGGTTTGATGCTGACTTCCACCACCGTGGCGCGGACAGCCTGGCCCAGCTTGTACAGCTTCTCGGGGTGAGCGGCATCCTAAAGCAGCAACATTTCATTAACCATTCTTTTTTTTTTTTTTTTTTTTCCCCAGATCCTAAAAACCTTACAAAACCCCTCCTGACGTGCATGTGTCTTACTTTGGCGTCTGTGATCATGGCGAGCAGCTCCACGGTGCCGGTGACACAAGGGTCTGTGGTGACCTCCAAAGACTTCTTGTCTGAAATAAACTGAGGATGGAAACGAGAAACGTGAAAAGCTCTGCGTAGCTGTTCCTGTGAGACGGTTGGTTCCCCAAGTTTACCTTTGATACAAAGCACGTAACTTCCTCCCCGACTTTGTAGCTGTTCATTTTTTCTTTTGCTGAAACTTGCTTTAAGGAGACACTGTCGTCCAGTTTGCTGCGGAGAGAAAACACATTGAAGAAACGGGTGAAGAACATCGAACCAGCAGGTTCCTGTGAACCTGAATGCAGCGTTACATCAGGACAAAGGCCGGCAGAGGCCTGTATCTGGATGAGCGGTTTGAATAACTAAAGGTGAGATGTTTTGAGTTCATCGTGAAAACGGTGGCCATAAATGCTCAAATGTACAATGAACTGTGAAATACAATTACCTTGGTATGAGAGTGAGCTCGGGAATGTTGTAGGTGAACCTGGGGTGGGAGAAAGGCAGAAACCTGAAAGGAAAACATTAGAAACACATTATTGCAAAACAATTTAGCAAAAGTTTGAATTTACAAGGAAAGAAGAAGAACACTTTTGCAATAAATAAATATCGACCATAACCGACTTCCTCTGTGATGTCAAACTAGCCCCTCACCTGTGGCTGGAGGCCTCCCGCCCTCCGATGACCCTGCCGGTGACCATGCTGCCCACTTTGACCGTGGACGTGGGGAAGGAGCCCAGCTGCACGTCGGCGGCCTCCAGCACCTCGGACACGTGCACGCTGGCCGTGCCGCCGCCCTCCAGCGTCACCTGGACGCAGGTGGGCTTCACCGAGCGCACCTTGCCCCGCACGGTGTCCCCGAAGCGGTGGCCCCCGGAGTCCCCGGGGCCCTCGGAGGCGGCGCGCTGGCGCCAGGGGCCGCCACGCTCCCAGTGAACCAGGGGGAGCCCGTCCAGCTGCGGGCAGCTGGGCTCCACCACCTCCACCGCCAGCGTCATGCCGGCCTTCAGCCTGTCCGACTCGAACAGGCTGATCTCGTTCAGGTGGCCGCTGGTCTGGATCAGGGTCACCTGGGCCGTGTCGCTCAGCGAGACCACGGCAAAGTCTTTGTCCACGTGCTGCACCATCGACGAGTACTTAGATCCCTCGGTCAGCTGTACACACCCAAAAAAACAAAATATAATGCAGCTAAAAAACATTATTTATTGATTTCTTTTTAATCAACCTCCATGAAAAGCGACACCTACAGATTTCTTCTTCCCCACCAGCTTTGGGAGGATGGAAACATGGACACAGGCCGAGAGGATGTCCACATGAAGGACGACGGCAGTGACCTTCTGTCCCGGAGTCAGCTTAACGCCTGAGAGACACAGCCGACATGCAGATGTTCACCTCACATGTGGATGACTAATCAATAACCGCATAACAAACAATAAATCACCTCCGCACTGCAGTGGCTGTAATCACACAACTTGTCTAATTTGTGGCTTTTTTTCCCTCAAAATCTGCATTTCTTTTTTGTATACAAACTCAAGGGGACCCTTAGAACTTCCGGAAACTCTCTGCTTACATACCCATTATGTGGTACTTGGTGGCGAGAATGCTGGCCCCGCCCAAATCGTCCGATTTAAAAGTGGCGCCGCTGTCCTGCGCGGAGTCCACCGTCAGCTTCAGCTTTTGCCCGACGGACAGAGCGGCCAACTGCTGGCCGAGGCCCCCGTCGTCTGTGGGTGAGGACAGGATTAGGTTCTGCCCCGGGGGCGGGGGGGGGGGGGGCGGAGGTCCGGCGGGGCGTACCTCTCAGGGCCAGCATCTGGGCCACCGATCTCCTCTCCTGCAGGCCGTTGATGAGCCGGGTCTGGACGTCGCCCTCGGGGGAGATGACCTCGGAGATCTTCAGCGTGACCAGGAACCGCCGCTTCTCCTCGTCCAGGTTGGTGACTTTGGCGAAGACGGTCTGGCCCGGCTGGAAGGCGGCCGCCGTGTCGCCGAGGAACCTGTCCGTCATGGCCTGGGCGAGGCGGGGGGCGGGTTGATTAACTACAGAGGAGTGCGTCTCTCATGAGCGGAGGTTTTCGGGGCCGGGACTCACCGACTTGGGCGAGAGGCCGACGAGGCCGTACGGGAACTCCACGAAGACGCCGTAGGACATGATGTTCTTCACCCAGCCAATCAGCTGCATGCCCACGGTGATCTCTGAGAAATCCTTGGCGACGACCCCCTCCTCCAGGGACCACCTGAGGGTCGGCTTCTTGGAGATGGTCTGAACGAGAGAAGGTTAAGAAAACCCGACTTTGCTTTTCTACGTCTAGGGTTGTCACGATACTAAATTTTTCAACTCGATGCCATACTCAGGAAAATAATCGATACTCGATACCATTTTCGATACCACAAGGATAAAAACAAAGACCCAAAAATGTAACTCCATTTTGACAGGTTAGTGTCTTTGGTTTCAAACTGACCTGTTACTGATGTTATGGTGGCCGGTTGCCCGCATCGTGTTATTATTAGTTATAATTAGTCGCAGCTAGCAATTCAAGGCTAACGTCACGTTAATTATCATAAACAACGTAAATAAATCAATAAGAGAGAGGCAGCGCAGTGTCTGCAGGTCAGCGTCAAACACGGGGGGGGTATCTTATCTGGATATGACGTTTTAGGATCGATATTTTTTTTGAGTATCGATACTTTTGACAGCCCCATCTCCGTCCTCACAGCTGACGTCTGGGAGGGAAAAGGATACGACGCTGTGCTTGCTCCTGTTGACGCAGATGAGGTTGGAGATGACGTCTCCCTCCTGCAGGCCCTCCCACAGCAGCGGGCCGTTGGACACGTGGTCGGAGAGGTGCGCGGTGGGCAGCGCGGCGCGGACCTCGTCGGGCAGGATGGCCACCTCCAGACCGCTGACCGACTTCTTCACCACTTTGGCCTCCAGCCTCTGCAGCACAGAGACAACGGAGGGGGCGGGTCGTCAGAAAACGGATGACTGAATAAATAACCGGGAACGGATCGGCCTTACCTTTCCCACTTCGAACTCGAGCCGACGCAAGCCGGCCTCCTCCGTCTCTCCCTCTGCCGCTGCCTTGAAGGACAGCACCATCTTCTCCTTCTCCAGGTCGCACTGGAGCACTTTGGTCTTCAGCACCTGCACACAAACCCCCCCGGTCAGACTCAGGGCGGAGCTTGGGCCTGAGCTGGGAGCTCAGCTTGGGCCTGAGCTTGGAGCTCAGCTTTGGGCCCGTCTCCACCGTTTCCTCACCTGGCCCACGTAGAAGACCTCCTCGGGGCGGTCGACGGGCTCGGAGCTGAGCTCGCCGCGCGGCACCAGGCCCCTGACGCCGTTGTAGAAGCGCACGATGCAGCCGAAGTCCTTGATGCAGACGATGTAGCCGTGGGAGACGCGGCCGGGCCTGGCGTCGGCGTAGCTGAGGAAGAGCGGCAGCGCGCTGTCCACCAGGGCCTGCTTCCTGGACAGGTACAGGTTCTTGCTCTCGGGCTCCACCGACAGCACCTGCGGGCCAGTTTTCACAGACAAAAAGGTGACACAAAGATCCACACAAACGCCCCTAACTGCCCTATGGAGGCTTCTGTCGCCGGAGTTATTTCTAGAGAGTCGCACTAACCCGGCATTTGACCTTCATGCCCTCGGTGTATTTCTTCTCTGGGTTGTTGAGGATGATGTCCGAGAGGTGGGTCCGGGGAACCAGACCTTTGATGTGGTCCGACACATGCACCACCATCCCGTGGCTGTGGAGGACCGACACAGTGCCCTTTGTGGGGGAAACGCGTGAGGGAAGGGAAGGAAGACGAGACGTCAGATGTCACAACTCCAAATAAATAGATGACAAAAAAAAAAATCAACATTCAGCCAAAAAAAAGCATCTAAAAATAAATCCCTTTATGATTTTGGAGGGGAATAAATATCTGAACCAGGTGGTCTAAAATGCTTCCGTGTAGAAAAGTGCAGATCCTGTGAGAAGATGGATTCAACTCAAATGTGTGAAGACAGGAATATAATCTATTCTCACCTCAACAATCTGACCGGCATGGAGGTCGTGGTATCTGTAGAAACGCTTCTCAATCACACTCCTAGAATAAAGACGAGAGGATTTTAGTGGATCAAAGCAGTAGGGGGAATTCCTTGGTTAACACAGGAGACCTGAAGGAGGCGATACTTACGCTCGTAAAGTAGCAAAATACATTTGCTCCATCGGGCTGAAGTCCAGGATCCTGCAGGTGTGGGCGGGCTTTGCATATACTCTGTTTTCATTGGCTGTCTGGCTGGGCTCCTTCAGGTGGTTCCTCTGTTGGGACGAACGGTTAAAATTATCCAAACGTGGTCGAGGCAGCGGATTGTCTCCGAACGGGATTTTTGCTTTAAGCTCGTTTGATCGAGCCTTTCTCCTCCACTCACGTGGACAAAAGCCGGCGTTTTGTCGGGCAGTTCCAGCATGGCCCCGGACATGTGGTGCATGGCCTTCATCTTGCACCCGTCCACCACCTCGCCGATCCGGTCGCCTCCGGCGGGAGTCGGGTCCACGGTGGAGCCTGGATGGAGGAGGTAGCCGCGCAGGCTGAGGCCCACCAGGCGACTGGACGGCTCCACGTACAGCGCACGGGCGCGGACCTGAGGGGGGGGGGAGGTCAGCTCAAACTCACGCCCTTAGACTCAAAATAAACAAATTCCTTTTTGAAATGGGGTTTTACCTCAAGTCCCACAGAGTAGCTGGATGTCCGGTCTGGCTCCATGTGGAGAAAGTCCACCTGGCTGCTGAAGGACGACAGGAAGTCCAGAAGCAGACCGTGTTTGGTCACCTGCAATTCAAACATGTGGGCATCATTAAGTACCAATAACACCGACTCAGCAGAACATCCATAAGAAGAAACAGTAATCTTAGCATCTGAATGATCATTTTCATTGCAGAATGACAGGAATAAAACAACTTCAAAGGGCCTTATAACCCTTTCTAAACTGATGAATTTTACTGTGCTCACTGCTGAACTCCTTCCTCAAGCAGAACCCTCAAAACACTTTAATAGAAAAGCATCTTTCTTAGTTTTTGTATGGCACACATTCAGCTCCTTTGTAGACCTGCTAAGTATTAGCTTCCCTTTTTCCTATGTTGTGATTGCGTGGAACTTAAAGGAGATGCAGGATCTTTTTTCCCCCCATGACTGTAACTCAGAGGGGGGAAAAGACATCCTCACCTTTGTGATGGTAGCTTTAATCAGGAGGCCGGGTAGGATGCTGGTGAGGCTCCACCCGTGCTGGGTTTCAGCAAAGGCCTGAGCGATAGAGGTCGGGTTCTTAGAGAGGTAGACCACTCGTCCATTGTTCTTCACCTCGTGTATTAGTGAGGTCACATACTGGCCCACCCTCAGCTCTGGAAACAGGAAGAAACCACAGATGATTAAGAGGTGTATCAACACGCTACAGAAAAGGGAAACAAAGCCCAGACTCTAACTGGGAGAGGTTATTCTCGGAATTTAATGCATACCTTCTTTTTTATTTTGTTTGGTTTTCAGGACCTCGTGCGGTAGAAAAGCTTTGGTTCCACTGACACCGATGTCAATAATGTAGCCATGATCTTCTACACTCTCCACGCACCCACTCAACACCTAAATGACAAAAAAGATAGATATTCAAACATTTGGACTGCAGCATTTAGCTAAAATAAACAGAGCAACTGTTGATGTTGGTTGTTTCTCACCATTCCAGCTTTGAGAGAGCTGGAGCCGAGACCCTTGTTGACCAGTTTCGGATTGACCGATAGTTGGATGCTAAGTGTGCCCCCCTTTGTGATATCCAGCTTGGCAACCGCACATCTGATCACCATGCCGGGAGAGAAGAGATGGGGCAGAGAGCATATTTCCTGTGAAGAAAAAAACATCCATCTTTAAACGTCCCTGAATGTGTGAAATATTTGTGGACCACGTCTCCCCTTCAGTGCTTTTCAAACTCTCATTAGTTTGGGTTTTACTGTACCTCGGTGTCAGCTGAATCCAGCTGCTCGGTGAGCAGCTTGGCGTAAGAGTCACAGATGTTTCTGATGCTCAGGTAGCCCTGCAGGCCACAGGGAAGGCTGACCGTCACCTCAAAGTCCGACACCTCTTTAACGCATCCCAGCATCAGCATTCCCTCTTTCACATTCTGGGAAAGGTACACAATAAAACAATTTAGAAATGAATCAACAGACACATCAAACAGAAGATTAACTGTGCATTTAAGTGACAAATGTATTACCTTTATATGCAATATTTCCACACATTTGGCTGCAGCGTTGAGTGTCAGGTCGCCTCCTTTTTTGTCATTCGGCTTTTGCTTCTTGATTTTTTTCCCATCTTGTTTCGTGGTCCCCTTTCTCTTCTTCGTTTCTGTTGGCTCATTTGGCTTCGAGGTGAAAACAAAAGCAATACTCTTGTCAAAATTGGATATAAACGTTGCAGAAATTGGTTCAATAGTACTTAGGAGAATGCTTTAAGAGCTGTTTTTTCAAACCTCAGTGAAATTTAATTGTACCTGAAAGAGATTGTCCACTTGTGTTCGCTCCAACTCTATTTTACTCTCAGTGGGCTTCTTTGTTATCCCTCCTCGCGGAAAGTCTTCCTCAATAGATTCCATGTTTGATGTTGTTTCGGATGTCTAAGAAATATAACGTCATAAGAAATTAGGGGATGACGTTGACCCAAGTGTAAAGTAGACTATTTACAGGTCGATAGCAGGGAGTGACACTGAGTACATTTGGTCACTGCGTTTAGGAATATTTCAGTTTTATCAATCAAATAAACGGCACAGTTTAGCCATATTTGCTTAAAAATAATGCCTTCTGGCACTCGAGTTAAACCCTAAAAAGAATTAAATAAACAGATAAGATAGTAAAAACTACATGTAGCAAGACTTTTAATCTCAGTTTAACCATAAAATATCAGAATAATTTATACTCTACCAGATTTACTCTAGAATTTCTGCTTCTCAAACACTCACATGTTGTTCAGCTACACGCCATCACCGCAACCCGGAAGAAAAACTAATATGGGCGTTTCGTAATCTGGCCAATCAGAGAGTAGAATATTTGATTGACACAGACTTTGACCATTCGGTGATTGTGGTTCATTGTAGGTTTGAGCGACGTAGGTTTAAACGAATAGAAAATCCCTGGTAGAGAAGCGACAATAGGCGGGATTTCCTGTTGAATTTAGCATTGCGGCCTCTTGCTGAAGGGCACCTGTCTCATTCTGTTTGCACAGGGGTCGTGTGTTAAAGGTAAGCAAAGCAGATTTATAAACAGCTTAAATAATTCGAGTCGGTTCTTGGAACCGTGACTGGAACTAAATAAGCTAAGATATGCCTTGTTAATTACATCCTTTTTTTGGGGGGGGACCACAAACGAACGTTAGCTAGAAGGCTAACATAGCAAGCTAACGTTTACTGGTCATAGTTTCTGGCCACTTTTCAGTTTGTATCAGTTCAGACTTTCTGCATTAAGTATCTTGTATTTAAGTATTAGTTGACCACCTTTGAACATATATCCCATGCTCAAGTGAAAAACGCTGCATTGATCAACTCAGGGGTCTTTGCTATTTCTGGCTAATACTGCGTCAAGAAGTGTAAACATCATGATCACTAAATTATTTAATAAGGTCAGTAATAGTATTGAGTTTCACTTCAAAACAAACAGACGAGACACAACAGATTGCACACAATGTTGTCTAAATGTATTGTATGACTTACGTGTAGCTTTAGGTCAACTCAGACTTTAAGGTCATTTTATTCAAACATAAGATGGCTGTCTCCATTAAATTGTCAGTTTATTAATCTGTTAATGGGTACATTATTTTATCCTTAAGTCATGGGGAAGTGGTTGAAAATAGCGATTTAACCCTAACCCTATTAAAGTATTATCCCTGTAAGTGTTGATCTTGTTTAATTGAATTTCACATCTCTGTCCACACATGTGCCTATTCTCTTTTGTCATCTGAGCATAAACATTAACATCAGATCAAGCCAGCACAGATGAAAATAAAATGTGGGTGTGAAAATAAACACTATATTCAGACGCAAAATGTGTTTGTGAAAGGAAAAAAAAATGAAGACATGCCAGTAATATTTAAGTTTTGCGCTATTTGAGTATGATGTATTAAGAAAGAAACATCTGCAGAAAAATCCTCTAGCACAAGACAACAAACACCAAGTTAACTGAAATGTGGACAGTCTGAAGTCTGTACCCTCTGAAAGCTGTGTTGTCTTACTCAGATGTGTCACTCGCTGCTGTATTGTTGGAATTGAGTTTGGAAATGTAAACTAAGATGTATCTATGAGAAGAAGAAAAGCATGGAGCACAGCATATCAGAATAAAAGGAAATGGCTTTGAATGAGTTGACTTTTGAAATACAACTGTGAACCAGTGACAGACCTCTGAGACATGAGAAGTCCATTAGTTGCAATTCACTGCAGGTCCACATTGCTTTACGAACCAGGTTTTAGAGTTTAAAAATAGACTGAACAGTTTTTCTGTTAAACATCTCCTGTTTTCCTCTTGGTAGGACCATTAACTTATCCATCATGGGAGGACACGACGCTGGAAGTCAGCACCAGTTCACTGGAATTGCCAAATATTTCAACTCGTACACAATCACTGGACGGAGGAATGTGAGTTGTGTTAAACACGTTTACCCTCAAGTGGTGTAAAGCTGTTTTTGTAACGTACTGCTGTCTCTTTGTGAACTTGCTTTTTAGTGTGTTTTGGCCACGTATGCCAGCATCGCGGCCCTCGTCCTTTTCTTCAAGTTGAAGCCCAAAAAACAGGCTGCCGTCACAGAAAAGTAGCAATGTGAGTGTGTTTTAAGTGTGTGTATGTGTGCCAGTCTTTTGCACCTGCATCGTCCTTTTCTAAACTCTGCTCTGGTCTCCTCACAGGTTTCCCTTTGCCCACCGGGGGCTGGCGGCGTCTGGACACGTTGTGTTAAAATGTGACTGTTTGGTTTTCTCTTGTTAACAATAAAAAACATTTATGCCCAGAACGTAGAAAAGGCTTTGTTTTATTTACAGTGCGAACCAGTATAAAAGTTTTATGTTACAGAAATGTCAGCCATGGATTGAGAAAAGCTGAACAGATGGCAGTGATTTTATTAAAAAAACTAAAAGAAAAAAAAAAAGCAGTTTACTTTGACAGAACTGCATCAGACGAGTTCGGTCTGGGTCCTGATCTGTCACACAGTTGGTAAACGTGGAGGTGGGGGGTAGGGGGGAGGTCTATTAGCATCGTTCAGTTGCTTTTCTCATGGATTGTAACCCCCCGCCGACAGGAGCAGGTTCCTCCGTGTGAAGTGGAGGTGGATGACGGGGCTGGATTTAGTCATGTAGGTGCCCAGGAGCAGCTCCTGGGAGTTGTCCTGTAGATGGATGTGTCCCGTAGCTGCTGTGAAGTCGTCTGTCTCTAAATCATCAAACGCTTTCGTTGCATCCCACAGGCGCACGGTATTGTCCATAGAACCTAAAAAAGATTAAAAATAAAATGTAAGTCATGCCGAGTGGGACTTTTTTAATTCATTTTTGCTTTAATTGAGTTTGTGGTGGAGGCCCACCTGAGGCGAGGATCTCCCCGTCGCGGCTGAACCTCAGCGAAAAGACGGTGTCCGTGTGGCCCTTCAGCTCTCCGATCATCAGTCCGTGACCGATGTCCCACAGGAGGACTCGGCCATCAGTGGCCCCGGAGGCCAGGAATTTCCCGTTGGGAGAAAAAGCCAGAGCGTGGATGGGGCCCTGGAGGATCCATTTTAAAGAAATCATTGATGGTGTCAGCAGTTTGAACCTAAAAAGTGAAACTCTGCACCAAGTAAAGGACCCCAAAGGACTGAATAGCATTTAGCTAAAGTGGACTGCTCTATAATACATATCTGAGCCTTTATATTAACCATTCACCTGGAACAGAAGGTGAGATAAACGTCCCGAAAATACGAGTGATCATGTTCACAGTGCTCCTCTTTTTTGTCAAAAAACTCATGGAAGTGGCTTAAAAAGACCACAAAGAAACTGACGCTGTGGGTTTCTGACCGATTAAAACCTGCTGGACCGACCTTGTGACCGGTGAAGATGCGGACGCAGTTTCCGGTGAGCACGTCCCAGAGGCGGATGGTGCGGTCCGAGGAGCCCGTCACCACGTAGTTGGAGTTGGGGTGGAAGCGCGTGCAGGTGACGTCGGCCAGGTGCCCGGCGAATATCCTGAGTGGCTGGTAGTGGTCCGTGGCCCAAAGGCTGTTGGGGGAAAAACACACACAGCTGTGAGGAGCCGCGGCAATCGGCAAACCTACCACCCCCCCCCCCCGTCCCACCCAACCCATCCCCCCCACCCATCACCCCGGACTCTTACCGAGCAACCCGGTCGTGCCCTCCAGACACAAAGTAGTAGCCGTAGGGGGAGAACTGCGTGTCCCACACGGGGTAGTTGTGGCCCTTGTAGCCCACCAGGCAGGTGAAGGTCTGGAGGCTCCACAGCCGGACCGTCCCGTCCTCCGAACTTGACAGCAGATAGTTTCTGAAAAGCCCCAAAAACATCCAGGCGGCGACGCTTAACTCATTGACTGCCAGCCATTTTCAGAACAGAGAGTCCCATACTGCCAGAGTTTTTTGAGCATTTTGACAGATTTTTCAAGAGCGACAGAATAGTTTGTGCTATGACTATGTAAACACCGAACAGACCAAAAGAGAGAGTAGACTCTCTTCTTTCATCAGGAAAAAAAATGTGTTTCTACCTTATTCCGTTCTTCCTCAACTTGCGTCTCACCGGCGACATGTTCTCGCATAGCGAAGCATTACGTTTTTCTTATTTGCCTACAGTCTATGCTCATCTCTCATCAAAAGTGGCACTGCCACCTAGAGGGTAAATTTGTTACTACATACTCTGTCTAGAAGCCGATATTTACGGACAAGCTTTAGCAGATCGTCCCCCAAGGCCTACCGGTCGGGGCTGAAGCTGATGCCGTACACCGGCCCGCTGTGGCCGTACAGGATCTTGGACTCGCTGGCCGTCTTCTCGTCCATGATTCTCTCCAGGACGTCGTCCGACTCTTTGTCGATCAGGTTCAGGTCTGAACGGGAAGAGAGACAAAGGGGGGCGCTCAGAGGCTTCGGCCGAACGGCTCCCGGGTCCGGGTGCTCGGCCGGGGGGGGAACTTACCCGCCGCCGACTTCACCTTCCGCAGCTTCTTGGGCGTGACGCTCCACACCCGCACCGTGGAGTCAGCGAAGCCCCCGGCCACCAGGCTGGAGTCGTCCGTGAAGTCCACCGCCGTCAGGCCCTAACGGGGGGGGGTCTGTCAGAGCTCCGGGTGTGAGGCCGCAAACAACCCCCTACCTCAGGGGTGTCAAACTCTGGCCTGCATTTTAATTATATTTGGCCCGCGAGACAATACCAAATGACCAGAGCTGGTCCCCGGTATTATACTGTACAGCGCATTAACCGCTCATACTACAAATCCCATAATGCCCTGCTGTTGTTCAGGATAGGAAACTCCTCTGTGACAGTAGCTACACACTACAGCTGTCACTGTGCAATCCCTTCCCAAAAATGACCAAAAGAAAGGCAGAAAACAGGAGCTTTCTGGACAAGCATATTTTTTTAAAATATCTAATTCAGAAGGCTGCAAATAGAAAAAGTGTTTTCAAATTTAATTTCATAAATGAATGCCATTAATGTGTTTTTATATTTGAAAATTGATTTAGCATGTTTCCACTATTAAGTTACATATAATGCAATAAGAGTTGCTTGTTCCGTATTCAATGTTAAAGCAAAATTTGTTTTGTTCCATATTAAAAGGTTCATTTGTTCAATCTTGGCTCGTGGCTTTGTTCAGGTTTTAAATTTTGTCCCACTGTGTTTTTGAGTTTGACGCCCCTGCCCTACCTGATAGGCATTGAGAAACGAGTAGAAGCAGATGGAGGGGAGGTTATCCGGCCCCAGGCGGATTTTCTTGGTGGCCTCCTTCATGTACATGATCTTGTCCAGCTTGTCGGAGTCCTTTAGCTCCGGGAGAGGAATCCTAAAAGACACCACGCCACCATCAGCCACCGACAGACGCCCAGAGCGAACGGCGTGAGACGAGACGGCGTCTCCGCGTGAGGATTCCCCACCTGGTCTGCGCCGGGGCGTTCGGATCCTGCTTCTTGCTTTTGGAGCCCATGCTGTCCTTTTTGGGCTTCTTCTTCTTGGGCTTGCCCTCTTCGTTCTCCGCTTCCTCGTCCTCGTCGTCCAGGGGCAGCTCGATCTCCGGCTCCTTCAGGAGTCCGTAGTAGACCTGGAAGACAAAAGAGCAGCCGCTGTTTTCGACGGGCTCGTTCGGAGGTAGGGTTGTCACGATACTAAAATTTTCAACTCGATACCGATACTCAGGAAAATACTCGATACTCGATACCACAAGGATAAAAACAAAGACCCCAAAATTTTACTGAATTGTGTCTTTCATTTCAAACTGACCTGTTACTGATGTTATCGTGGCTGGTGGCCCACAGTAATGACCTTAACCCTAACCCTAACCCTCCAGCCTTCATAATTGTGAGAAATAATTATTTTTTGGTTAAACTTGTTTGGACTTATTGAACAAACCGATTTAATATACACTATTTTAACATAATATGTATAGAGTTGAACTTAGTGTTTGAAAGATTCATTTAACTGTTTTTAAATTAATTTCTATATTGCCATGAAGCAATTAGGATTTTCTTGCCTGGGATCTTCCTATTGGTGACCTAATCAAAATGGCCGACTTGGATGTGGGCGGAGTTGGATATGTACTTGATTAATGAAAGCATGTTACTATTAGCCATTAGCTAGCAAGGCTGACGTCTTGTTAATGATCATAAACAACGTAAATGAATACATAAATAAATCAGAGAGAAGAGGCACAGCGACGGCAGGTCAGCGTAGCGCGCCCGCGGTTGTATCGATACTTTTGAAAATGAGTATCGTATCCGGATACAACATTTTAGTATCGATACTTTTTCGAGTATATCGATACTTTTGACAACCCTATTCGGAGGCCTTAGGGCCCAACGCTCCCTCCTCCCCTACCTTGGCCTTGTTGGCCTCTCGCTTGGCCTCCCCCGCCAGGCTGCCCGACATGGCGTCGATCTGGCTCTTGCTGCGCGGCATGCCATCGAAGATGTCGATGTAGAGGTGCTCCTGGATGATGTTCCAGATCTGGTTGTTCTGGCGCTCCTGCAGGTGCCTCTTCAGCAGCTGGTAGGAGTCGCGCGAGATGCGCAGCACGAACTTGCTGGTGCGGAAGTCCAGCAGGGTCTCGTTGCCCCTCATGTGCTCCTTCTTGCTGAGGCTGGACAAAATGCGCAGGTCCTCCTCGTAGTAGCACTCCTGGTCCCCGCTGAACCTGGGAAGGGGTAGAAGAGAAAGACGTGAGGGCCCGGGGACGGTCTCTGGGGCGTAAGGCGGGGGAAGCACACTCACTTTTCGAAGAAGGCCTTGGCCTCGCTCTCGTGGTTGTTGTAGACCAGTTCCAGGTACATGTGGACGAAGAGCGGGTAGAAGACCTGCGACAGCTCCGCCCGGTGACAGTCCAGAACCGTTTCGATGAACTTCTTCAGGTCTCTGTAGTAGACCTTGTAGAGCAGGGGGTCTCCCTGCTGGCTGTAGGCCGAGAGCACCACGCTGACATCTGGCTGGTCGTCTCCAGCTGCTGCTGAGTGAAACACACGGGGAAGTACATTTGGGGCATTTTGAGATATTCTTTGTTTTTATTTACACATTAAAAAAAACAAAAAACATTTTCATTCATATATGTTTCTATACATATATTTAAAACTTCATTGACTTGCAGTTCTGGTTGCAAACGCAACCCAAATAGCCAGTGGTGGACATTTGCATCATCTAATTGAAAAGTTCCCAGCGTCTAAAAGAGGAAACACACGCTCTCACACTACTACTCCACATCTCAGCTGCAATAAATAAGTACAATAACATCATTAGCTACTATAATAACTATTATTAAACCCAATAACTACGCTCGTAGTTAACAGAAACGTCCTCTGAGACGGTTAAGTCCGCGCAAACGACCAAAGTTAGGCTGAATTGTACCCTTAACCGGCGCTGGAGCTGCGGCGGAGGGAGGGATGGTGACCCGGCTGAGCAGGGAGGTCCCGTCCCCGCCTTCCGCATCCGCACCGCCCGCAGCACCTCCCGGTCCGCTGGGGTCGCTCCCTTTCGGGTCCAGCGCATCTTCCGGCAGCCCCGCTTCCCGTCGCAAAATTTCAGCCGACTCGGTGAGTTTGTTCTTGGCGAGGAACTGCAGGACCGCCAGCAGCGTTTGCTGGTCCTCCGGGGCCCCGCCGGCCGGTTTTGGGCCCCCGGCCGCGGTGGCGGTTGCCCCGGGAGACGCGGAAAGCACCCGGGTGTCGTTCGCGTTGCTATTTGCAAAGCCATCGCTTTGTGGCTCTGTTTTTATGTCTACATCGTCTTTCGCGTCGGCCATACCACCTTGTACGGCCGCCATTTTCCAAATGAAATGCGCATGTGCAAAGTTGAAAAACGGAAAACGGTAAAAGCGCAAGATCGGGTCATCTGATTGGTCCTTTTCATGCAGCATCACACTAGATGCAGTATAAGCCCCGCCCCCCACTTCCTACATTCAACAGCTGAAAATGTCCATGAAACCGGAAGAAAGCTCAATTCAAATCAAATGATCACCTTTTATGAGCTAAACGCTCAGTTAACCACATAACTGTTAACTTAAGTGCGTGCACATTTACCAAAACGTGTAAATAAAGTTATTGAATTTTTTAGCTCCTTAAAAATGTTCATAATAAAACTGAAATAACAGTAAATCTAATTTTGGGTCTCATTGAAGAAAGATTTTAAAGGTTTCCACAAGCTAGATTTACTCTGATAATATTTAAAAGCGTTTTGGTGGTGGGTGTTGCTTTGCTAAGGGTAAAGATCGGATAAGAAACTGGACATATCGAATGCTCACTTAATATGTTGAAATTAACAGCAAGAAAATAATTAACAGCATTGTTAGACTCTGATCCCAAGATAAAATTTCCCAATGTTTGGATTTATCTGCACGATAGTTCACATCCCAAAAATACTCAATAAAAAAAAAAGCTTAATTTAAAGCAAAAAAAAGTATACAATTTCCAGCTTGGGGAAATCAAACCATGAAAAAATTTGGGTATTTGTTTAGAATGAAAAATAATCATCCAATTCAATCAAAATTGACTTTATTTATCCAATAGGTAAATTAATATGAAACATTAAAATTTAATTTAACATTAATTCCTTTCATATGAATTGACATTTAAGCAATACATTGATCTATAGCTTTAACTATTTACAATTCAGCTCAAGAGGGAATAATTCCACTTATTTTTTAATTCACATTAGTGCATAATCTTTTTCTACCAGAAGGTGGCACTTCATTCCCGTATATTTATTGAGGGTGTTGAGCTTCTCAACCAGCTACAACATGATCACTCTTTTCTTCCTATTATCAAATTAATTTCAAGTAGAATACTTTGCATTTAATGGGTGAATTACTGACTAACTTACTGAGAGGATCTTGATTAATATAATGATTGTAAATCATTGCCCCACACACACGAGGAGGCAGTGGTTAGCTGGATTGATACAATCCCCATCTGAGCACAAATGGGTGTATCCAACTTTTTGCTCTGTTTTCAAAATGACGTAGTGTGCAGAAACATAAATGAACCTGCTCGGTGAGCTGGATTCAGGGTGAATTAATGTCCTGCAACACTCAAAGTTGCTGAAAATTAGTTTGGTATGAGGTCAGTGAGTTTTTTAGTGACTTAGCATCATAAATGTAATTGTAATAGTTATTTGACATGTGTTTCCATAAAAGATTCTGTCAAAGAACATGTAACTACTGTTAAATGTCATCGTCTTTCAATTGATTTAGTTATACTGTTACATATGCCACGAGTTCATGTTTGCTTCTGTAAATTTAACTTATTTTGTTATAAAGAAGATGAAGAGAAAAAGACATGGCGCATTTATTTTAGCAAAATAAATGTGGAGTCATTACAAATTAACATGGTACTGTCAACAGAGGACCGTAGTTCAAGAAATGTGGAAAATATGTAGAAAAAATCTCCAGCTCTGATCCAAAGACAACAGGGTTACTGTAAAAAGACTTTTGAGTCAAGTTTTGACAGTGTTTCTGACTGAACTGAATTTTCTGACATAAATCTTCACCATCTTTATGTTGCTGTGATTAACCATGTTTTTTACAGCTAAATATTTACTGAATATTACTTTTTTATGAGGGGAGAACATGCGTCACTCCTTTTTTTTTACATCCTGCAAGGTTCATGACCACTTTTCTTATCTCTAAGGTACACCAGAGCAGAAACTGGAGAGTGACAGAAATACCTGTGTAAGGTACTAGCCGCGTTCAATTTGCATTCTGCTGAGGCGGCATTTCTGCCTGTACAGAGCAACACACCGTTCTCCTGTGAAAGCGCTGCCAGACGCACTCGTGTCCTGCTGACTGGGCAGGTCTCGGGTCAGTGCGGCATCTGTTTTCATTTCGAGGATGCTGTCGGCACAAACAAACAAAATCCCCCGCCATATTTCACCAAACTTCTGAGCCTTCCCTTTTAAAAAAAATCCCCTTACTGCCTGGTGATTAACAGCTCATTTGAAGGCACACACATTAATTTTCCTCTTCATCATTAACTTGGGGCACAGGTGAGCGCGTGGCATCACCTCTGCTCTCAGAACCTCGTTCATCCTGGACTTTACGACTGCGTTAACTCAGCCTCCAGCAGCTGGGGTGGATGCAGCCGGGCCGGACAAAGGGCGCAGAGCGAGCAGGCTGTTGTGTAACACTGCGGCGGCTCTGCTCCGTGTGGAGGAGAGGTGGGGTGGGGGGGGGGGTTGTGTATCGGTGGGTGTGGGACACGTTACCATCATCTGCTCAAGGCATGCGAAACAATACAGCATCAGTGTTAAACTGCTCATTAGAGAGAAAGCCTGCTCCCCTCTCTGTGATGTGTAAAGATGACCACTCAGAGGACCATTTCGTCCCGGTGGATAGCCCATACACACATGAGGCCAAAGGTTATTGATTTATGATCTGTAAGAGTTGTTACTACACGTCGGGCCGACACGTTTTGTGTATTAACTGCAAAGCAAATTCAATGAAGACAGTCAGGGATCTGTTCCATTGATCAAACAGGACCGCTCTGACTTGTTTGTGTTAAATTACTTACACAGGCAGCGTCTTACTCTTTGTTTCAATTCACTTCATTTTTCTGAAGGTTGAAGCTGTGACACAGAAAAAAGCTGCACTGTATGCCATCGATTTTATTAGTACAAAAGGTGCCCTTTCACATGACTTTTGTGGAAGACAACCTCAGTCTCTTCATCAGCATTTCTTCCTCCTCTTGACTCTTTCAGGCCCCGCCCGAATTCCCCCTGATGTGTCCAGATGTTGCCCAGTGCTGTGATACCGAAGAAAATGAGCACATTGTGAATTTGCCATTTAAACTTTTTCCAAGTTGCCACACTAACAGACCTTTTGTCTGTGACTAAGTCCAATTTCAGCTCACGTCTCGCCCCGGTGCTCCTCACTGTCTTTAACCAAAAGGGTGACTGACGAGCGGAGACACGCATGTTCAGTCTCGTCCTTTTTCTTTCACGCCTCAGTGGTGATTGGCTGTGCCCCCTCCGTGTGTGTGTGTGTGTGTGTGTGGGGGGGGGATCTAGGAGGACTCTCCCACCATCCCCGGTTCTGCTCTGTCAGAAAGCAGCAGGGTGTGGCTCCCCCACAGGAGGGGGTTTGTGGAAAAAGGAGGAAAAAGAAACAGTGTCATCCACTCTCTGAATCCTAAAGTCCCCCTTGCTGTAAAGTCATGATGCCATTTCATGATGGAGTTGATCTTAAAATTAGAAATGAAAGCCAAAACACATTTCTTGATTTAAGGTACATTTGAACTGTTTTTTTTAGTCATTATGATGTGGAGATCTGTGATTACATTTGTGCTGTCATCTGTGATTTCAAATGGACTGATATTAAGCCTGCTCACACGCTCAGAGAACACCAGGAGGAGCTGGGACTTTATGTCCCCGCCGGCAGTTACAGTCGCAGTAAAAAATGGAGTGACGGTTTGATGTGCTAATTCGAGCCGTGACACGAACATCCGACGACCACGCACCAGGTTCAGCAGGGTGTCGGTCCGGATTAAAATGTCAGGCAGGTTGGAGTGATCATTTTTCACAAAGATTTGAGCCGGGAGCCATTAAAGAGCGGCTCAGCCTGCAGGGAAACCTGCGCGTGCCCGTCTTGGTGATGTGGTCTGGGGAGAGCGGAGTTGGGCGTGGCAGTTTTCTCTCTGCGCGCGCTGGATCTTTATTTGTCTCATTGCGGCGCGTGCACGTGGAAGCCAGCTTCTTCACAGCTTTAAAGAATGAGGTCATCGAGTTGTACGGGCAGAAGTCGAGCTTACCTGACTAACCATCAAATCTTTGCATCCTAATAGGTGAAGTTTTGTTTTGTAACTCAACCTTGAGCACCGTTAACACTCAACCCTTCCCTGGTTTTGAATCCTTGCTTGGATTTGTGTGATTAAATGATCATTTTAACTAAACCAGCAGGGGTCCTCACCAGCAAGCTGATCCGTGATTACCTGTTTCCTAAGGAAACACCACTTTTCTTTTTTTTTACTAGAGAGCAAACGCTGACAGCATGTCGACCGAATTGGTCAAAAAAAGGCAGCAAAGCACCCCACAGAGATGCAGGAGTAAATAATTCATGATGCGAGATTCTCAGAGGAGGTGAAAAATGCCCTGAGAGGAGGAGACAGAGTGAGGAATGGATGAAAGGGAAGAGGAGGGTGGCGTGCGTGCGGGGAGCAGGAGGAAGGGTGGGGCCGGAACCACAGGGAATGGTTCGGAGCCTCAAAGTCAAGAGATGTACGGTCGGAAAAGAGAGGAGGGAAGTGTGAGAGGTGGCAGTGACACGCAGGGGCGAGAAGCGGGGAGAGGGGAAGCCGCGAAAGGCGTGGAAGCTGAGAAAAAAGCAAATGAAAAGCGGTAACACTGAAATAGGTGCAATCTCCTTTAATCACCACTGAGGTGAGGCAGCAACACAATGAAGCTGTTCTCAAATCCAAATGTTTGCTGCATCTCACAGTGATAACCATCTTATATTTTTTATTGTTCCCACAAAATGATGAATATTCTTTTCGCATGTTTTTCCCATATCTCTTCTTACCTTGTTTTGCAAAGGCTGCTGTTTTCTTTTCCCTGGGCGACTTAGTGTGAGCCCGTGCACATGTGCGTGTAAGAGCCCCTTGCCTAACCAAGTGGAATAATGGGTGTGAAGGCAGAGACGTGGTACCAGAGATCTCCATTTTAGAGGAATGAAATGTGGGTACCTTGCATTATTCAGTGCTGAGCTAACCGTAAAGCTGCATAGTTTTCCACACAGCTGGTTTTTGCAGATGGGTGGTCGTGGCTGCCTTAGACCGT